CGGAGGAGTAAAATGTGTTGTATAGTGCTCGTTAAGTCGATCGAAGGCGCATAGGCGGCATAACGTCTGTGAAGCGGTCCGGAGGCGATATAAGGCAATTAGCGGAAACTCCTCCCGAGATACCGTGACGGGAGACAGGGGGTTGTCAGTCCTCCGCCGCATTCCACTAGCGGTGCATGCTTGCGACGCGAAGTGGGCAAACCGTGGTAAAACGCGTCTACTCACCTGGTCCACGCGCCCACAGAAGGTCGGTGGACAACAACGATTTGAAAGAACTGCATGTTGCGTGCGAGGCCTCAATTGCAGATGAACGGAAGTACCCTTTAAACATATAAGTATTCACGAAATTTCCAATTGCGAAGGATGTATGACAGGCCAATAGATACAATGCCAACATTCCACAACACTGCCCTAAGTATTCGTTCCTTTACGTATTCATTTGTTTATGCAACTCCGGGAGGTTTAACGCTTTGTGCGCACCTGATAGATTTGGGTGTTCATCAGAAATACGCTTTTCCAGTGGGCATGTATGTAATCCGCCGTTTTGGTTGTGAAGTTGGTACACGTGGTCACATCATGAGTGCTATGGGGGGGCACTGACAGACTTGTTGATTTTCGATCATGTGCTAGCGGGAGTAATGCTGTTCCTTTTCATGCATGTGGCGTGTCTGTCAATTTACACGGCCAATGCTGCATAGACATGCATTTATATCCTCCTAGAATGATTCCGCTGCTATTTCCGTGCCGCATGTATGAAACATTGTATCTCAGTGATGCCATCTCAGCGGTAATGCGAATATTTCCCAGTCATTTAGGCGATATAGCCAGTTAGACGTAAGGCAACAATAGGCCTTGCTCACTGCGTCAGTTAACATGATGTTTAATGGCATAACGTTTTGATCACCCTCCGGTTGCCTATCCCTGATGTTAACTTTGCCATTTGGTAGGCTCATAGTAAGGATTAGGCCATTCCTTGTTAAGAATCGAACGAATTCAACCAAATTTTTGGAGCAAAATATACAAGCAGCGCCTATGGTGCAGCGCGTGTCCCAACTACTTTCTGGCACATGGATGTCGCATCCAACAACGTAATGCTAGCCTCTGCGCACCTACATATAGTCACATGTCACTCAGCTGTCTAATATTGATGATGCTGATGTGCGGCGCATTGTACGCAAATCCGGTGCGGAGGTTCCAATCAATTATCCATGCTGTAATCACTACGGATTCAGCGACAATTTCAGGCTTCCTTTCAGTTACCGACGACAAATGACTACTGTCATCAACAGAACTCATGCAACCCGCTCCCCTGCCACCGGGACGGCCAGTTGAGTAGCTGTTATATGTTACAATATTGTCTTCGAATTCATGCGTTTGGTCGTTGGGCAATGAATCGGTGGTAATAATCTGGAGCTTCGAGAGATATACGCTATGGCGAAGGAACTGCATGTTATTGTTAAGTGTGAGGGAGGCAATCAGAAACATTACACAACTCTCGTGCGAATGCGATCAACCTGAGATTTGTTCACATATGGAAATTTCAAATCCGTTAGAGCTGCAGAGTCAGGCTGCTCTGATCTTACAGCCAGGCGTAGACTCGTATGAATAGTGTACGTGCGTATGGGTGATGCCGTCGTCGCATTGTGCACCGAAAGCAACAGCCCTGGGTAGATAACAACATCACTGGGTCTGTGGGCATTGTTCTAGCTACGATGATTCCAAGTGTGACCGTGACACGACATTATTGGGTGGTCATTCGTCTCCACTTATTTAGTGTGCATTTGGTAAACAAATACCGGTCCAGTGCCTATAAATCCGCCGTTATTTAATGGTTGTAGGAAGGACGCGTGTGTGGGTAAGATATCATCACGACAACGCGGACCCTATGTTTTGATAGGATATTGAGGCTTTACCTCATTTAGGCTTATAACTTTTTTAGTACGACCCGGAAGTGACCCTCCAACAAGCACTGTAAACGCATTGTAAGCATGCGTTGTGGAGCCATTTTCATCGTCCAACGAGGCTTCAGGATCTTGCTGCTTTCTGATGACAACATGTTTCGGCGTAGCTTGCACGTCCGCAGCAATGCATGTCACTGCGTGAAAAAATGGCTGCTTATTTGGCTGCCTGTAATCGTTGTCTATATCTGGCTTAACGTGCGCGGATCCCACTGTAAATTATTCACAACAAGCTGCAGGGACGTCGGTAAATGAGAACACAGCGTTTGGCTGGTTTCAGTATTTACCTGAATTACCCGAGTGAACTTCGTGCGCCGCCACTATTTATTGGCTCTGGCGTTCTGGCTTCGGCGACGCTGTGGCATTTAAAAATACGGCAGTTTTTGTAGCAACGTGACGTATTTCGTTGTCGAGTGATGCGATTGCCGAAGCCTTGAGGCTAGCAGTCGAGTCACTGAATGTAATAGAGAGGTCTCATCAGCATCTATAACCATTTGAATGGTCCCATTTTGAGAGCCGCTTGTTACTTCCAGACTGGTGTGGATCACCGGCCTGGAGTACTTGTGGCCGATTCATGCGTTGATATTTGTATTCTGTTAGGGAACCACTGAGCTCGGCTCCGCCAGACTTCTTGAACGCGCGTGTGGTTTATCACGACGTATAGTGCTTGGACCGTAGTACTTTTTGTAATACGGTCACGGCTTTTACCAGTTCCGTCACATTCACAGTGTCCTTGAACTGAAAGAGCACGGGGCAGCTGTGGTGCTAACCATGTGAGCGTAAGAAGCCAGTTTTATTCTTTTTTTACTTCAGCTCATCCAGAGTGCAACGAAAATGAGCAGGCACGTAGGATTTAGGATCAGCAGGCTTATCGGAGCACATTTTCCATGTCTTCGGTTTCACACTTGATGTAAACGGCTACAGTGACATTACGAGACAACGTACTGGAGCGCGCTCGTGTGGCTGACATCATGGAGTTGTACCAGGAAATAATCCAGTAAAATTTTTTTAGAAGATATATATATATATATATATATATATGCATGGAACCGTGGCCATTCACACTCCCTACATACGCGCAGATGCCAACTAAATACTCCCGTTATTTTTGCAATTTCCTCACGTGACCAGAAAAGCTCAGCGCCAAGTCAACCGCAGTGTTTCCTTGATACATCAACGCCTCCTTTCCCAAGCTATACCGGCGATCGCGAACGGCACACTACCTCTATCCACACGGGTATTGCACTCGTTCTCAATGCTCCCACACATATTTAGCGCTCAAATAAGGTGCCATTACAATAACACACACACACACACAATAGTGACGCGAACACTGATTCCACCATTCGTGGTATGCTCATGGTATGTTTTGATTAACGCAAGATCGATTATCAAGAAACGGTATTTCCTAAGCATGTTTGCACATACAAACGAGCTGCAAGCAATGCAGCTCCCTGTCGAGTACTTTGTGATTGAATTGACGGGTTGCGAAAGAACAACTTCATCGGCGTAAGTAGGGTTCACAGTTGTAGAATCGGATAACAGGATGAGGGATACAAGGAAAGCGTGTGTAAATTGTTGGCGTGTGTTTGTAAAGTTGACGTGGTCACAGGACAGTGGATCATAAGAGAGAGAGAGAGCGTAGTTGTGTGTATCCATGCTTCATCAGTAGGCGAGATACTACCCGGTTGCCTAGGCCGAAGTAGGTGGGTTGTTTTAGCGGACCACGGCTTCGAACCTTTGGCCGAAGGGCCTAACCTACAAGGCAGCAGAGCGAAATAAGCGTTTCGCGCATCTTGGGAACCGGCGACTGAACATTCAGTTCATACGCCATACCAGGTACCAAACACTCCCGAGGTCAAAAGCAGAATCAAGTCCTAGGGTTGTTTGCCCGTATGCATTGTCTGAGAAGACAAGAGGCAATGACTTTATTTAGTGGCTATTCCCATCCGCCACGTCGCAGTGCTGTTAAGCGGGCACTTCCTGGAACACTGCCACCGAACCATTCGTCGAAATGGGAAATATGCGAACCGCCCAACTGGCACCACGAGGTGGTTGTTCGGCAGGCCAGCGGGAAAGGAAGTCACTGACGACCCAACTCGATGCCGTCGGTCCGTCTCGCCCTCCAGGCTGGGGCCCACGTGCTTGGTTGTGCTTGGTTCGGGACGTTAGAGGACATTGCAGAAGACACCAGTGGTGTGACTGCTGTCATCGAATTGCCTGTTTAAATTGCGTTGCTGAGTTATTTGCGGGATAATGGCTAATTATGACGCAGGGAAGTGGAAGCCGCAAGGAAGCTGTCCCGCCGGTGCCGCCTTATCTTTGCACGATAACCAGCTGTTTGTGATGGTACGTTGTTGACACGGTGTACGCGCGGAGTGTTTGTTTAGGCCATTGAAGTTTTACCTTGTGTCACGCTTTTCTCCCTCTTATTGTTCTTCGTTCCGTAGGTCGTTATGATTTCATGGCAAGGAAGCATCAGTTCAAATGGCTGATGTACTGCTGTTGATAATAATGAAAACTTTATTTTATGGTGAGTCACATCCGCCACGTCGCAGTGTTGTTAACCAGATATTTGGGGCTTTTATAGGGAAAACAATTGTCAAAGGAAATCCCACTACGTCCTAGAACACTGCTGCCAAACACATAACTGGAACTAGGTACATCTGAACCACCACGAGGTATTACGGCATGCCACGGTCCACCGAAGAAAAATTGCCCACAGCATTACCCTATTGTTCCGGTATCAACAGAATTTCAACCTTAAGTTTTGCTCTAAATCGCTGCAAACTTTTCTTTCGTGACCTCTTGCCTGCCAAGTGGCTTTGCCCATTTAAACGCGTTGGTGTCTGTTCTAATTTTTTCTCTCTTTGTTTTCTTACGAGTATCGCAATCATTCTAGTCAGCATCCTTGGGTCATTTTTATATCACTCGATACCAGAGACACTTGTTCGGCTACTTTGTCTCTGTGTTCCAATTGTTTCGCACGCTGCATCCGTTGTCACTGGATCCAGCATCTCTCTTTGTGTCTTTGTCTTCCAGCTAAAATTGCGCGCAAAGAAATCTTCGAAACCCAAACACAGAATGAAGCTAATCTAAAACCTGTCCTTAGCGAAACAGCTACGCAGGTTTCGGTTCAGCTTACAGATAGTTTGGGGTTATCGTCCTCGTTGATGTCTGATACCGACACCGGTGTTTGCAACGCGGCCCCGAATCTCGGAGATGGAGAGGAAAGGACCGAGTTTGTTTCTGCTCCTCAAGATCTAGATTCACGAAATCTAGATGACCGACTTCTGGACATTTTGAAGCGTTTAGACAAACCCGACGTCACCACTAGACAAAAGGCCTTGCGTGACCTGTCGTCTTTACTCCAATACAAGGATCCACTGACGTTTTCCGTTGTCATAGCTTTCCTTCCATATTGGTCACCAGTGTTTTGCCGCCTTTCCGAAGATGCGGACGCAAACGTACGAAAGTTCACCCAGATGGTCATGTTCCGTCTGGTTCGTCGTGTCTATCATGAATTGAGACCTTACCTTAAACAAGTGAGTTTTTTAGTGGCCATCTTTACCTCATTTTTGGAACTTATCCTAAGGTAACACGATTGCTTAACGTGAGTTGGAATTATGTCTTGTATTGTCGCTACTTGTATATAGATGTTTGATTCTCAGGTCACTGTTGCGTACATCATACCGGTCGTCTGGCCACTAGCTCCTGGCTTGTAATCCACAGGTCACCGATTCGAGTTTTACGTAGATGCGGCGGACTTTGCAGTATCCTTGGCCTACGTGCGTCTGTTGACGCTTGTGCCGCAGCGAAGCGTCAGCACAAACTATTGGCATACTGCTGATGCATTTCTTGCTTATTCACTTCACTTGGGCTAGACTGACTTAAACGGATTCGTGTACATTTGACGGCGTTTCTATTCTGTACTTTTGTTGTCTCGCTTTTCACCATCTTCATCATTAATACACGTTGGCTAAGGGTGCGAAACACACCTCAACTAATATGCTGCAATACAGTTATTATTATTATTATTATTATTATTATTATTATTACACAACACTTGACTAATATACATTTGCAGTGCCATAGTTAACAACAACAAAAAGGGGGAAACGGGTAGTCAGTGAAAGGGTTTGGAAGGCTTAATATGTTAGCGTGTTGTGTGGGCAGAGATCTTCCAGGTTGCCCAGGCCGATAAGGGAACACACCCTGAGCCTTTGGTCTTAAGATCTAACCCGCAAGGCGACGGGGCGATTAACAAAGACCGTTGACATCCGGGTGGCCACTTCGCCTTTTTTGTCTTCACGAGCAGTCCAAAGAGAAGCCGGTGGCCAGCAAGGTTGTTCATCCGCTATCCGTTATATGCTCCCCTCTGGTTACAGAGGTGACACATTGGCTTTGAGATTGGCTTTGACATAGCGCCGTACAAACTCTTGTGGTATTTGATGGAGAACCAGGTGGCCAGCCCAGAACTCACGACGCTCTGAGACACTGCCACTGCTTGCCGCAACTGCTTTTACATCTCGCCTGCAAAGCAGACGAGACTTATTCGTAGTTACCTCCACAAGGAAGACATTCCCCAATCCGCAACCTGTTGACGCGCCCGATAGCCCACAGCTCCGCCACGGGGCCGCAATACAAGAAGATAAGATAGGAAAAAGAATTAAACCACCATGAAAACTGGGTTCGATCCTATCTATTATCTGAAGAACATCAATAAGCGCACAAATGTTAATTACCCCCAATCAAAAGCTCTTCAATCTGGATTCTCCGGACCATCGTTCGAGTTACTTCTCTTGAACATAATTTACTATGGATACTATCAATAATCTATGTATGACATTCACTAGGCACTATTCTATGCCATCTCGCCAGTGGACACGGTTTTATTATTTACCTCGTATAGATTCCCAAATATTAGCTACCCAACAGCTAATTTCCAGTCACTTAGTGTTACCTAAAGTGTGTGCATGATCCACATCGCCCATGTGAAACGCATTGAGATGTTAACCGTTCGTCGTTTCTCGCGGCCGAAGTCAGTAGCCATCGAAATTGGGTGACTCGACGATTGGCAGAAATTTGGCTCAACCACGAATATTCACCGCGCACTGGAACACAACTTACATTTCTCAACTAAACTCCATCTCCACCTGTGAGAGCACTGGAAACATTCCACTTCATACCATTACTTCGTCGTGTATATTTACTGGGCTTTGTCTTATCGTCCTGTTGAAGACTCATTGACTACATTTATCATACATCTAAGCATATTCCATGAATCTTGTGACATATAACCAGAAGAAAGCAAATGGCTAAAACAATTTCCTGCTGCGTTCATTCACGTATTTTCTTCTATCTATCATTATTTAACTAGCATTCAGATCTGTATAACCTATGATCAAAATAATGTACATTTTGAACCTAGATGATCATGCCTCTGGGGGCGTGACTCGCATAGTCTAGATTCTAGATTATTCACTAGTTTGTTTATTTAAGTTTTGGCCTACGGCTTATGCTTTTTTTTCTTATTTTCTTTCCCTGGTCTTAAACGGACCCGTTTTACATTTGGCGGTGTTTCTCTTTTTTACATTTACTGTTCACTTTTCATCGATTACTGTAGGTTCACCTTCCTCTTTACTCATTTGGACACTATGTTGTTGTTTACTGTTCGTACTCTTAACCTTTGATGCAACGGTTTCCCTCATTGGCGTGGGTGTCGGGACCCAGCTATTGTATCTTGCTGATCTAATATCGTGATATCTTCGCCATAAATTAGGTCTCACTCACAGGTGAAAGTAGACACACCAACAAGGAGTAGTTCGCTTCGGTTTTTAGTCATACGAGTACTTGTATCTGTGATATCACGCACGTTATCGGGAGTCGCTTCACTCCCCGAGTAAGCATCCTGAAATCAATGAAAATGTCACGAAAGCTACACCAGCATACATTCGAGGTGGCATTTATGCGCACCGTACGTTCATTGGGAGATGGGTACGTAGGTAGCCGACTTAATAACATATACTTTTCCTATCCTTTTCCAATCATCTGACTTAAGCTTTGCTACATTGGACGGGAATAACACAACAGACGCGATGACACAGAGTAAAGATTATACGAACTGTTAGTCTAACGAGGAAGGTGCATCACCTGAAACATGAAAGAATTGATTACGCTATAACTTGTAGCAGAAGGCAAGCGAATGCATACGACATTCAACTCAGTCGGAAACTGGAAGTCATTTTTAAGTGGATGTAATTTCCCTGGATTAAATCTTCATACCTCCTAAGCGATATAGATGTGTTCTCTGCTGCTGGCTCAGAATATCGGAATGGGAACATAGACGAGAAGAAGTGGAGTTGAGATCACACGAGCGACCATTCTTTGAGAGTTTTAGTCGCGGGGTTGGTATATTGTCGGTTTGGGTGATTAATGAGGTATCTGGTGCCTCCCAGGTTTCAGGTGGCACTACGAGAAGATCACCTTGATGTGCCACACGGCTGACGGAGACATCTGCTTCCCTCCTATCACATAGTTTCACAAGGGCATAATGAGGGTTGCACCCGATGAGGGTGGTTCCTCCTCCTCCTCCTCCCTACTTTAAAGACTATTCCATTCGCTTGTGTAAGACCGGACCAGGGACCATCAGTCAAGATAAATAAATAAAATAATTGCTTTGTATATTTACCGACAGACGGTACACGACGCCATAAATGGGAGCGATCATTTGTATAGTGAATACGTTTCATAACAATAAAGCGAAGTTTATTAATAGAATTTCGGATTACGATTTTTTTCCTTGGGTCCTAGACCCGTGCACATCATATGTAAAATTTACGGATGTTTGCATTATCTGGAGTAGATAGTAAAAGCGAGGGACTAGGCTGCACAGACAGGATTTGGTATTGTATGTAATGACATGTTGTGGGTAAGCTGGTTGTAAGCGAATATCTGCTCATATGTTTTTTATACCAGCTTCTGTCAATGTTTCTAGAGTATGCTGTGAGTCAAATATCTTCAACACATTTGGTATAGTGAGGAACGTCTGAAGGAGATTTCGAAACGTGACATGGCTTGTACACATGCGTATCTGTAGGGGTAGTTTGTTCCACAGATAAGTGTATCTCACTAAGAAGAAATTCGACCGAGGTTTATGACTTGAAAGGTTTGTGCGTATCAAGTAGCCGTCATTACGTGTGGGGTAGACTGCAGTCTTTCTTAGTTCAATTGCGGTGCTGTCTGCGTAAATTCGTTGGTTTATAATGTTGTAGAAGGGAACGAGGTTGTTCTTTAAGCTTCTCAGCCAAATAGGATCCAGTTGGAGTTTTCGACATCGGTCATAATAAGTCAGGTTTGAGCAGCCCCCCATGACCAGCTTGGTAAATGAACGTTGGACATTTTCCAAAGCCGTTCTGTCTTTCTTCCTCAATTGGCTGTAAACGATAGTACAGTATTCCAGAGTCGGTCGTACTAATGTCTTGAATGACTTAAGTCGTGCTTCAGGTAGGGAGAAAGTTCTGGTGATATATCCGCATAGCTGCCTTCCTTTAACAACCTGATAAGCACATGTTCGGAGAAATTGAAAGAGTTGGAGTACCTAATTCCTAAGTCCCGAACTGAATCAGACGTTGGGATCACGTTTCCGGAAAGTATAATGGAGCCTTCTGGGATGCAGCATCTGTACCCAAGTACTTGGGATTTCGCTGCGGAGAACTTCATTAATAAACGCTCACCAGCTGTATTTAGTGCGGATAGGTCTTCACAGATGTTCCCCAAACACATATGTAGTTGGTCTGGATGAAATGAGTAAACCAGTTTGACATCATCTGCAAACAGAAATGGGTGTCCATGTTTGATCGGGTCACATATTGTTTAGGTAGATTAAGAAAAGTAGCGGTCCGAGCACACTTCCCTGGAAGACGCTGCTAGTTATTTGTTTCGGTGTGGAATGTTGCTGACCGATTTTAACTACATGACTTCGAACCAGTTTTGCAGAGGTTTTCCAATTCCATATGACTCTAGAGCTGACAGCAGTGGCTTGTGCAGCACGCGATCGAACGCCTTTTGCATGTCCAACAGAATTATACTGATGGCCAATCCTCTGTCCTGGAAGTTCTGTTGATGGGAGTAGAGTTTGTTACACTGCAAAGCAAACAACAACAGATGGGATGCAGCGCGTCATGAAGTATGGACTCCCATCGCGAACTTGCCAGATTTCTAGTTCATTCACTATACACCTCAGCTATTGTGTCGCAATACATGAAAATAGAGAACACACACAGGTGCATCCCAGCTAAGCAACCAGTAGCGGATGTTCATCGTTCCTGAAAGCCACAAGCCGGCTATTGTGTTGCAAAAATGATTTATATTATGCCAGGAAATGAGATTGCGGTTGTAGGAGGAGACTAAGCGGGATGGGGAGGGACAAAGAAACAGAAAACACAACCGCGTTTGAGGTCGGTTCCGAGCCATGTCAGCAATCGTATCCAGCCAAATGTGTTTATGGTCTTTCGGACCGCAACCAGGAGGCCGAGAGGCTCCA